TAATAATAGGTGAAACACCTCTTCTGGTATGGGTTCATCTCTTCCAGTTAATAACAGGCGACAAACCACTTCTGGTATGGGTTTGTCTCTTCAAGTTAATAACAGGTGAAATACCTCTTCTGGTATGGGATCATCTCTTCCAGTTAGTAATAGGCAAAATACCTCTTCTTGTATGGGTTGATCTCTTCCAATTAATAACAGGAGAAAGACCTCTTCTGGAGTGGATTTATTCTACCAATAAATAGCCAGCGAAAGACCTCTTATGGTATGGGTTTATCTCTTCCAGTTAATAACAGGCGAAAGACCTCTTATGGTATGGGTTTATCTCTTCCAGTTAATAACAGGAGAAAGAACTCTTCTGGTATGGGTTAATCTCTTCTAGTTAATAATAGGCGAAAGACCTCTTCTAGTATGGGTTCATATCTTCCAGTTAATAATAAGTGAAAGACCTCTTCTGATATGGATTTGTCTCTTCCAGTTAATACCAGGTGAATGACCTCTTCTGGTATGGGATCATCTCTTCCAATTAGTAACATGCGAAAGACCTCTTCTAGTATGGGTTTATCTCTTCAAGTTAATAACAGGCGAAAGACCTCTTCTTGTATGGGTTTGTCTCTTCCAGTTAATAATAGGTGGAATACCTCTTCTGGTATGGGATTATCTCTTCCAGTTAGTAACAGGCGAAAGATATCTTCTGGTATGGTTATCTCTTCCAGTTAATAACAGGCGAAAGACCTCTTCTTTTATGGGTTCATCTCTTCCAGTTAATAATAGGTGAAACACCTCTTCTGGTTTGGGTTCATCTCTTCCAATTAATAACAGGCGAAACACCTCTTCTAGTATGAGTTTATCTCTTCCAGTTAATAACAAGCGAAAGACATCTTCAGGTATGGGGTTCATCTCTTCTAGTTAGTAACATGCGAAAGACCTCTTATGGTATGGGTTTATCTCTTCCAATTAATAACAGGCGAAAGAACTCTTCTGGTATGGGTTCATCTCTTCTAGTTAATAATAGGCGAAAGACCTCTTCTAGTATGGGTTCATATCTTCCAGTTAATAACAAGTGAAAGACCTCTTCCGGTATGGGTTTGTCTCTTCCCGTTAATAACATGTGAAAGACCTCTTCTGGTATGGGATCATCTCCTCCAATTAGTAACCTGCGAAAGACCTCTTCTAGTATGGGTTTATCTCTTCCAGTTAATAACAGGCGAAAGACCTCTTCTTGTATGGGTTCGTCTCTTCTAGTTAATAATAGGCGCAAGTCCTGTTCTCATATGAGTTCATCTCTTCTAGTTAATAATAGGAAAAAGACCTCTTCTAGTATGGGTTCATATCTTCCAGTTAATAAGAAGCGAAAGACCTCTTCTGGTATGGATTTATCTCTTCCAGTTAATAACAGATAAAAGATCTCTTCTAGTATGGGTTCATTTCTTCCAGTTAGTAACAGGCGAAAGACCTCTTCTGGTATGGTTATCTCTTCCAGTTAATAATAGGTTAAACACCTCTTCTGGTATGGATTCATCTCTTCTAGTTAATAATAGGTGAAACACCTCTTCTGGTATGTGTTCATCTCTTCTAGTTAGTAACATGCGAAATACCTCTTCTTGTATGGGTTTGTCTCTTCTAGTTAGTAACATGCGAAAGACCTCCTATGATATGGATTTATCTTCTCCAGTTAATAACAGGCGAAAGACCTCTTCGGGTATGGGTTTATCTTCTCCAGTTAATAACAGGCGAAAGACCTCTTCGGGTATGGGTTCATGTCTTCTAGTTAATAATAGGCGAAAGACCTCTTCTAGTATGGGTTCATATCTTCCACTTAATAACAAGCGAAATACCTCTTCTGGTATGGTTATCTATTCCAGTTAATAATTGGCGAAAGACCTCTTCTGGTATGGTTATATCTTCCAGTTAATAATAGGTGAAACACCTCTTCTGGTATGGGTTCATCTCTTCTAGTTGATAATAGGAGAAAGACCTCTTCTAGTATGGGTTCATATCTTCCAGTTAATACCAAGTGAAACACCTCTTCTGGTATGGGTTTGTTTCTTCCAGTAAATAAGAGGTGAAAGACCTCTTCTGGTATGGGTTCATCTCTTCCAGTTAGTAACAGGGAAAAGACCTCTTCTAGTATGGTTATCTCTTCCAGTTAATAACAGGCGAAAGACCACTTCGGGTATGGATTCATCTCTTCTAGTTAATAATAGGTGAAACACCTCTTCTGGTATGGGTTCATCTCTTCCAGTTAATAACAGGCGACATACCACTTCTGGTATGGGTTTGTCTCTTCAAGTTAATAACAGGTGAAATACCTCTTCTGGTATGGGATCGTCTCTTCCAGTTAGTAATAGGCAAAATACCTCTTCTTGTATGGGTTTATCTCTTCCAATTAATAACAGGAGAAAGACCTCTTCTGGTGTGGATTTATTCTACCAATAAATAGCCAGCGAAAGACCTCTTATGGTATGGGTTTATCTCTTCCAGTTAATAACAGGCGAAAGACCTCTTATGGTATAGGTTTATCTCTTCCAGTTAATAACAGGCGAAAGAACTCTTCTGGTATGGGTTCATCTCTTCTAGTTAATAATAGGCGAAAGACCTCTTCTGGTATGGGTTCATATCTTCCAGTTAATAATAAGTGAAAGACCTCTTCTGATATGGATTTGTCTCTTCCAGTTAATACCAGGTGAAGGACCTCTTCTGGTATGGGATCATCTCTTCCAATTAGTAACATACGAAAGACCTCTTCTAGTATGGGTTTATCTCTTCCAGTTAATAAAAGGCGAAAGACCTCTTCTTGTATGGATTCGTCTCTTCTAGTTAATAATAGGCAAAAGACCTCTTCTAGTATGGGTTCATATCTTCTAGTTAATAACAATCGAAATACCTCTTTTGGTATGGGTTTGTCTCTTCCAGTTAATAATAGGTGAAAGACCTCTTCTGGTATGGGATTATCTCTTCCAGTTAGTAACAGGCGAAAGATATCTTTCTGGTATGGTTATCTCTTCCAGTTAATAACAGGCGAAATACGTCTTATTTTATGGGTTCATCTCTTCCAGTTACTAATAGGTGAAACACCTCTTCTGGTATGGGTTCATCTCTTCCAATTAATAACAGACGAAACACCTCTTCTGGTATGAGTTTATCTCTTCCAGTTAATAACAAGCGAAAGACATCTTCAGGTATGGGGTTCGTCTCTTCTAGTTAGTAACATGCGAAAGACCTCTTATGGTATGGGTTTATCTCTTCCAGTTAATAAAAGGCGAAAGAACTCTTCTGGTATGGGTTCATCTCTTCTAGTTAATAATAGGCGAAAGACCTCTTCTAGTATGGGTTCATATCTTCCAGTTGAAACAACCGGCTGAAAATCATCAAACAATGAAGTCGCCATCGAACGTCTTTTATCCCACATGTAGGGAAAGGTAAACATCGAGAAAACCTGATGAGGGAGAAGTCACGGTCTTGCGACCGAGAGATCGGGTAAGGGAGTCTGTTACGCGAGGGGAAGGTATTAGCACCCCACAAGCCCGTAGTACTCTACGGTATCCACTCTTGTTGTCTATCTTATGGGTGTGTTTAATCTATGCTTACTGTTTACTATACTACTGGAAGGAATGCATGCAAAAGAAAGGAGAAAAGAATGTAGGGAAAATAAAATTTTGCTCGCCTGGGCCCTACCCCAATGCCTACGTATCCTTTTTGAGGAATCAGAGCTACCGTAGTTCGGCTCACATTTTTTTGTTTGTTTGTGTTTTTTGTGGACGAAGTTAATCCCGCCATCTGCTGCAGCTCTACCTTTGGAGACTTATGCGTTGGCACAAAAGTAAATTAATCGTGTCCTTACCTGAAAAGGTTTTTTAAGACAAAGGTGCTCGAGCGCACAAAAGATTTGAACTTGTTTTGTATTTTTGTTGTAGATGATGACTGATTGACCTCAAGAGAGAGATATTAGCCATTTTTCTACTTAGCCATGAAAGGAGTTTTTGAGAATTGAACCACACCTATGCTTGAGATGAAGAGCAATAAGATCGAGAAGAGACCCGCTTATCATTTCTCATACTAAGCAAAAGCGTGATTCGAATCAGTAGTTTTAAAGTATTTTGTATTTTTGAAAGAAAAAGAAGTTTTTGTTTTAAGTGCGAATGCAAAAGGGAAAGAAAAGTTAAAGGGGAATTAGCCTATTTCTAAACCTAATGTTATTGTGCGTTAGTAGCCATAAGATTTAGGCTAAAAGGGAAATTTCTATCGGATATTAGTATGCATGAATTTGAAAGCCTAATGTCTACTTTCAGTTCAATTAAATCGAAGATTAAATTTGAACCAAAATCTCCTAAAGAATCATGAAATAATATACGAATAAGTAAAATTAGGCAACAAGTATCAGGATATCGCATACAATCCATAAAAATTGCGAGCGAAACACATGACATAAAAATGAGTAAAACTAATGATTAAAATTGAAAAGGAAAAGTGAGAGAATTGAAAAGAAATCTCTTTTATTTACCAATATTGCCAAAGAAAATAAATCGCCAAAATTAACCGCAATCGAAATGAGTATGGGAAATAAGATCTCAGGAGGTGCGAACTAAATTCACTATGTGCTGCAAAAAAAAAGCAATGACATTAGGCCCCATCAAAAATGGACACAATCAACAAGAAAATAAAAATAACCATGATCCAAGAATTGACTAGTTTGGCCCATTCCATCACTAATTCCTCTTACAACAAAAACCCATATTTTTTTATATTATTTTCAGCATATTATTATTATTATTATAGAAAATATAAAATAATAAAACAATTATATTGTTTCAGTATATTATTATTATAAAATAAAAAATGTAAGATAATAGAACACTTATATAATTTCAGTATATTATTATTATAAGATAAAAAATGTAAGATAATAGAACAATTATATAATTTCAGTATATTATTATTATAAAATAAAAAATATAAGATAATAATACAATTATATAAAATGGAAAAAGAAAAAGGATATGAAATTGGAAAGGGATTTTAGGGATTGCAAAAAGAAAGTCTCTTCTCCTCTTCTCCTCGGAACACAATCGGTGCTGCCGGCCTTCTTCCGCTTCTTCCGACAACTCGGCGGCGCGGTCATCATCATCTTTGCTGATCTTCTTCTGCTCCTCCTATTCCCTCGCTCTTCTTCTCTGATGACTGTCCACCGTGAACCACCGCGTGTTTCCGTTCGACCTTCGGCCTCCTCTACTGGAAAACTCCGCTGGCTCTTCAATGGCGTCGGTGTTCCAAGAAAACCAGAGGTAAATTCTTCACTCTATTCTTATGCTTCTTCTATCTCTTCTTTCTTCTTTTCCGTTTCTTCTTCCTCAATTCCTTGACTCCGTCTTACCGTAGCTTGCTAACACGTTGCGATTTTGTTACCGGGATACAGTCAATAGATTAGACGATCAAACTAAGAACAGATGGACGTAGAATCTTACCGGCTAGAGATGCTCCAATGACTCTTGAACAGCGACACTGAAGTTGGTCAAACTAGATGAATTCAGGTACATCCCTTTCAATTATGTTCTTGTCCGTCTTTTGGGATTTCTTCCGCGATTCTGTGAATTGTTGTGGTTGTCGTCGAAGATTGCGCGTGTGTGTTGTTTTTGAAGAAAATGATGGTGATGTAGAGGTTTCTATAGAAATCTTGAAGATTAAGGTCGCAGATTGTTGAAGATTCTTGCGGAGATAAAGATTGTTGAGAGGTATTGACGGCGAGAAGAAGATGTTATGCGAAGAAGGTCGATGGTGCAGAACGGTTTATGGTGGTTCGGAGATACAGTAAAGAGAAGAGAGTATAGAGATTTGGAGAAAATAAATGCTTTTTGAGATTGAGGGTGGTGGAGGGTTGAAGAAGATTGAGGTTTAGAGAGGGAGAGAAGAGTGAGAGGATGAGGATGATGTTCGAGCGTGGGAATGATGAAAAATGAAGATTGGTGCTTGAGATTGAAGAGTGACATTTTGTTTTATGGTTGGATGGAATTTCCAAAGTTAGTTACAGACCACTGATTCCTGAAGCTTGTTACAAGATCCAATGGTGGAGATGAGTTCAGTTGAGAATTTCTGTTATTTCTAACTGATTTTCTGTTATGAAGCTTATTCTGAGCTGGCAAGGAATTAGTTATAGTTAGTTATGTTGTTTATGGTTTGTTGAGTTAGTTGTGTTATGGTCAAAAATCAGTTAGACTATTTTCAGTTATAATTGGTGATTCTGTTAGTTTTTTCTATTAGGACAGTTAGAGATTAGAAAGTTTGTTAGATTATAGTTTCTAATTTCTGTATTTCAAATTAAATTAACTTGATTACATATTGGTATTGAACCGGCTTGAGAAATGGTTGTTTATGCAGGTTCAGGAGGTACAACAAGGCAGCGTATTTGTGGTGGCACAGAACCATGGACGTCCCGATGGTAGTTTGGGGCAGCTCAAGCCTTGTTCCGAGATTCTGAAGGAAGGCACAATAAGAATACCGCAAGTGTGCTCCATGACGCACATCAATACCGTATTCTTGATGGAGAGTTCCTATCAATATCATCCCTCGACATAAAGACAGGCGTATCATCATCAAATATGGAGAAACCAGGTTTAACACTAGCTGAGGTGAGTTGCATGAGCTTGAAAACTCCGGGATGAAGGGACATTGTCATAGACAGTACATATCACACACTCAAACAATCACATCACTATTGAAATACTCAGTTTATACACAGTATCATACATACTACAAACACACTTATACACATCACACAATATAACAACAATTAAAAATATATGCGAAGACATAGTCAATCACATGCTCTAACATCATACTCACAAAATCATATAATAATCACACGCGCACACACATAGCTATTACAATAACACTGAGCGCAAATACAGCTAACATTCACATACTATAGTACACAATTAAAACAGCCTATGATAACAGAATTGAACAACAAACACACACATAATCTCCTTTAATAACACATGCTCATATCACTACACAATAACTCAGAAAGTTTAAACACCATTACATTATCACTTCACAAAATAGCAGTTCACATTTAACACTAGTATGCTCACTAAAATCAATCGTATTTTCTCATTGAAAACAACTACAAAAAAGCAAGCATGGAGATTACTTTGAGATGTTATGGAAGCTTGAAGTTTGGAACATGAAGAACGATTGAAAAAAAAAGTATAGATGTTATGTATAATTGTAATGAAATTTGGACTTGTATGTATTTGAATAATTGTAATGCTTGTTGATTTTATTTCCACATAATGAAATGGCCTTTGTATGAATTCAAATAAATGGTATGAATCCAAAATATTTGCAAGGTACCCAAAAGAGACATGAATCTTGAATGAATCCAAGAGAGGCTATTTGGACAATATTTTGATGGTTGGATGAATTTGATGCATGCTTTTTCATACTTGTGGTTTGAATTCCAAGAAAGGCCACGCAAATTTTTAAGAACTTTGATTAAATCCACTTCAAATATTCCAAATCCACTTCAAATATTGATGAATGAATTCTAATCAAACCACAATTTCAGTGAACCCCTAATTCAATTCAATTTTCCGATCTAAACCAAAATTGCGTGTCAAGCAATAAATATTTGAAATAACGACACCTTGATCACAATCAACATCTTGTACCATGTCCCGAATATATGAGCACTAGAATAACGACGTCTTAGACCCCTTCTCAATAGATGATAATGATTATACCCTGAGGGATTCCTTGCAGATGAATATGAAAGATGAGACATGCGAATACCTTGATATGGATTGAACCTTAGGTAGAATGCTGACAAGCTCAAATATGAAAATGTATAAACCCTGATTTTTAGCTCCGTCTCATAAAACCTTGCAACTTGACATTGAGAAGCAAAGAATAGCCTCGTAGCTTGATGATGATAAGGTCCATGAAATGAAAACCTAACTTCAAACAGATTATTAATGGAGAAATCAACCGAAACAAGCTTGTGTGAAGATGGGAGCCTTAAAGCCATACACCAACCCTTATTCCTCGAAATCCATGATCTTATGCCAATTTATCAATTAATGATGTATGATGTGTTAGATGACCTAATGTGAGAAAAATGCAAAAATGCGTAAGCTAGATAAAAGTAAAAGGGTAGGACAAATTTGGGGTATTACAGCTGCCCCTATTTAATCGTCTTAAACCTGAAAGTACGATTGGCACATGCCTTTCGGAAGTTCAAGGTTGAAGATGATTAAATATCAATGCCAAAAATTTGTCCTGAGGGAGAAAGAGTGTTTTATTTATTTATTTTTGTGTTATCTGCTGGGGAAAAGAAATTGTTTTTTTTTTAAGGGACGGAGATTGAACTTGTAACGTGGCGTGATGCCAATACAAGACAAATGGTTGGTATGAAAAGACAGCGGACGAGGTCTACGGGCGACCTACGATCCCAAGGTGATACGTGAGCGTGATTTGACAGAGAACCTAGCCAAAGGGCGATTCGACGAAGGTTTGAAGGAAGAACCTAGCTAAGAGGCGATCTCAGGTTCGACGATGACTTGAGGGAGGAACCTAGCCAAGAGGCGATCTCAGGTTCGACGATGATTTGAAGGAAGAACCTAGCAAAGAGGCGATCTCAGGTTCGACGATGATTTGAAGGAAGAACCTAGCCAAGAGGCGATCTCAGGTTCGACGAAGATTTGAAGGAAGAACCTAGCCAAGAGGCGGTCTCATGTTCGACAAAGGTTTGAAGGAAGAACCTAGCCAAGAGGCGATCTCAGGTTCGACAAAGGTTTAAAGGAAGAACCTAGCCAAGAGGCGATCTCAGGTTCGACGATGATTTGAAGGAAGAACCTAGCCAAGAGGCGATCTCAGGTTCGACAAAGGTTTGAAGGAAGAACCTAGCCAAGAGGAGATCTCAGGTTCGACAAAGGTTTGAAGGAAGAACCTAGCCAAGAGGCGATCTCAGATTCGACGATGATTTGAAGGAAGAACCTAGCCAAGAGGAAATCTCAGGTTCGACAAAGGTTTGAAGGAAGAACCTAGCCAAGAGGCGATCTCAGGTTCAACGATGATTTGAAGGAAGAACCTAGCCAAGAGGCGATCTCAGGTTCGACGAAGGTTTGAAGGAAGAACCTAGCCAAGAGGCGATCTCAGGTTCGACGATGATTTGAAGGAAGAACCTAGCCAAGAGGCGATCTCAGGTTCGACGAAGGTTTGAAGAAAGAACTTATCCAAGAGGCGATCTCAGGTTCGACGATGATTTGAAGGAAGAACCTAGCCAAGAGGCGACCTCAGGTTCGACGAAGGGAACATGAGTTATGACATGATGATTGTTTTAGATAAGCGACGCGGACGAGCATCAAGAAAGTTTAAACTCGGACGAGTGTTTGAATAACTGACCCGGGTGGGTGTTTAGGAAACTTGACACATACGATTGCTTAGGAATGGATACTGACGAGTGTTTAGGGAACCGACTACCAGACAAGAACTAGGTTTAGAACGGCAAAGTGTATTGATTTTGTTTGGCATTGAAAAGGTGAAGGTCACCGACTGGGAACTTTGAGCATGATACCCTCCTGTAGGGATGTATCGTTGTCCTTGAATAATTCAGGTCTTTGGTGTAAGGTACCTGGTCTGGCTTATGCTTTGTATGCATGTTTGAATTTCTTTTGATACAAAGATCCACTCTGATGGATCAGCTACGCGCTTTTGAGGATGCAATGATATGTAATGATAACTATATGCAATGTGAAGAAATAAACTTCATGGGGATAAAAGAAGGCTTGCTGGGAGCTATTGCTCATCACTGGGGATGTCAGTATGTACCGACGTTGGAAGCCTGCAGTACCAAAAGTTGTTGGGGATACTGACAAAAATTTGCCCTGGGGAGCTCTTGAAGACCTAAGATTGTTGATGACTCTTCTGGAGATTGAATTGCGGACGAAAAGAGTCTTTAGGTACACTGCTGGATTATGAATCGTACCGTTGAGAAGAGATAACCTGGCCGGACTTCCAAACATCCTGAACTGTTGAGGGGATGATATAAGTGAGTATGCTGAAGAATGAATACTGAACACCATGTGGATCCCTTCGAATACATGTTACAAGTTTACGCACACTGGGGAATTGTTTCTTGAATCACTTGGGGATAAGAGATGAGCGGGGACACCTATGAGTGCCCTGGTTGAACTCTGCGAATGCCCCGGTTTAGCTTTGCGAATGCCCCGGTTTGGCTCTGCGAATGCCCTAGTTTAGCTTTGCGAATGCCCCGGTTTGGCTCTGCGAATGCCCCGGTTTAGCTTTACTGGGGATGCTCTTGATTAACTCCCCTGAGGATGCCCTTGCGCGTGCTGAGTTAAAAGACGATTCTAGACTTTCTGAATTCACTTGGGGAATCGGACCTGAAGTTATTTGTGGTAGATGGAGGCAGCTTTGTGCGTTGGCGGGGTTAGGGTGACTGTCGTAAATTACTACCTGCAAGAAAAAACAACACTCGGAGTGCATATGACATCCCCACACGGTTATAAATTGACGTGACGTCAAGTTTTATCTTGGCTTGAGAATTTTTTATTCCCCATGTTTCTAATGCCATGTTTAATTATCAAATAAAACATATTCTGCATACAAAACATTTTATGATAATAAGAGGCAACTTTGATGAAAACATATTTTATTGATTGGCCTGTGAATAGGCATTCGTACAAGGAAGCAACTCCTATATGAGGTAGCTGCAAAATAGAAACGGAAAAGTACAACGGGCGTAAATGGCAATGAGAGATGCTCGAATTTCCATTAAAACCGGTATTGCTACAGTTCCCATATCCTAAGTTGTCTCAATGCCTTGCCTCCAAAGAGTAGTAGTTGGATCGGTCAATTCACTGCCAAGGTGCTATAGATGTGCGCGTGTCATTTGTGAAGAGCATTCAGACTGCAGCCTCTCGCTTAAAATCCCTAATTTTTGCTTGGATCGCCCTTTCAGGTTTTCGACCCAACGGGATACCCATTTTTGCCTAAGTCGCCCTTTCGAGTTTTCGACCTAGCGGGTTGTTATTTTTTTTCATTTTATCCCTAACTTTTGCCTGGGCTTTTGTGCCCACCGGGATGCCCATTTTTTGCCTAAGTCGCCCTTTCGGGTTTTCGACCTAGCGGGTCTTTTTATGCGTAGAATTTTTTGACTGAGTCTGAATTGACTGGGAGCGGAACGTCTCCCCCATCCATATCTGTCAGGATTAAGGCACCTCCTGAAAAAGCTCTCTTCACGATGTATGGTCCCTCGTAATTGGGAGTCCATTTGCCCCTTGGATCGGAATGGCTTTGTATGATGACCCTTCTTAGGACCAGATCACCAGGATAAAACTTTCGAGGACGAATCTTTTTGTCAAATGCTCTTTTCATTCTTTGTTGGTACAACTGGCCATGACAGATGGCCGCCAGCCGCTTTTCATCAATCAGATTGAGTTGGTCGTACCTCGTCTGAACCCACTCTGCCTCATCAAGCTTGGTCTCCATCAGCACTCTTAACGAAGGAATTTCTACTTCGACAGGGAGCACAGCATCAGTGCCGTAGACAA